TCTCATGTCAAAATGTTCAAAAAAAAAAAAGATTACTTTAATTTAGGGTATTAGGATTTAGTGATTCTAATATTAATTAGGGATTAGATTATATTTTAGGGTTCAAGGTTTAAGGTGTTAGAATTTAAATTTTTTTAAGGTTTAGATTTTTTAAAATTAAATGTTTATTATTTTAACTATAGTTTAGATTTTTTTAGATTAAGTGTTTAGGATGTTAGGGTCTAATACTTAAAGAGTGAGCATTTAAATCTGTTGAGTTTTATATTTTATGATATTAAGATTTAGATTTTTTGGGTTATATTTTTTATAATGTTAGGGTTTAAATTTTTTCAAATTTAGTGTTTAATGTATTAAGGATTATACTTTTAAGGTTTAAAATTTAATATTTAAAAGTTTATTTGTTCAATAATTAAAATTACAGGACCAAAAAGTAAAATTTTAAATTTTAAATTTAAGGGGAAAAATAAAAAAAAAATTAAAAATTAAAAATAAAAAACTATAGGGACCAATCGACTTGGAGACCGATCGGTCCCTATGGCATTACAATAATCTATCCTCTTCTCCACTTTCTTTAAACCAAACAAGTACCATGGTAAGAATTTTGGAGCTTACCTTGTGTTGTTTTCTTGCTGCAGCCAAGTGCAACACTGTGTTGCCTTCCTCATCTTTCCAATTCAGCAGCTCCTCGTTTTTTAGCCTCTCCACCAAATTCTTGAGTGCTTGACATCCATTTTCATTCATCACAGTCAGATGCAGGATCGTTTCTCCTGTGTCCGTGACCTCTCTTGACGACTCTGGACAAGCAGAGATAAGTTCAGCAACAACATTGTCTCGCCCCCTGATCACCGCCAAGTGCAGAGCTGTCCTACCCTTCCTATCCTTCTGCTTGCAAAGCTCGTGTTTGTTCTCCCAATCAGACCTCAACAGTTCTCTCACTACTTCAACCTGGCCGGTTGCTGAGGCCAGGTGCAGACTGGTGTAGCCTTTGCTGTTCACCATCCTTGCAAACCCCGGTTTCAGGTTGAGAATTTTCCTTACAAAATCAGAGTGACCCAGCAAGGATGCAATGTGCAGAGGAGTGTCTACCGAGGCATGCCTGCTTGAATCTTCAAGAATCATGGGATCTTCCTCGAGAAGCTTGCACAAGGTAGCTGTATCATCTTTCCGGGAAGCCTCAAACAGCCTCTCATCCATCACCAGATGCAA